CCCCCCCCCGCCCCCCCCCCCCCAGTGTCTTTTGTCAACTAAATTGAGGCTTGTACCTTTGCTGGTCTCCCTTCGATTGAGTTTGCAAGAAAAAGCAGAAACGCCAGATGGGAAGTGGGTAGGAAGCCTCCTAATGAGGTTTAGTGCTAATACACTCTTGTAGTTTTGGGGGTAGATGGAAGGTGGTGGTTTCCTTTCCTTTTATTTTTCTTTTATTAAAAAAAGAACATCGGAATTGATTTAACAGCCACCATATGCACGTTTGAGTCACACTCCGCTTGTGACGGCTGCAAAGTCTCTGCAGGTTTCTGTTTTGTGTTTTTTTTAAAGGGATTTTTTTTTAAATGAAGTTTCCCCCCAAAAAACCCCAAAAGTTAAAATACAAAGCTTCTGCAGATTTCTAGTTTTTTTTTTTTAAGGATTCTATGAAATTCCCCAAATTAAAAAAAAAAAAAGTTAAAATGCAAAGTCTCTGCAGATTCCTAGGTTTCATTTTTTTAAAACGAATCTATGAAGTTTCCAATTTTTTTTTTAAAAAGTTAAAATACAAAGCTTCTGCAGTTTTCTAGTTTTTTTTTTTTAAGGATTCTATGAAATTCCCCAATTTTTTTTTTAAAAGTTAAAATGCAAAGTCTGCAGATTCCTAGCTTTCATTTTTTTTAAAGGAATCTATGAAGTTTCCAAATTTTTTTAAAAAAAGTTAAAATACAAAATTAAAGGTAAAGGTAAAAGATTCCCCTCGCACATCCGTGCTAGTCGTTTCTGGCTCTAGGGGGCGGTACTCATCTCTGTTACAAAGACGAAGAGCCAGTGCTGTCCAAAGACATCTCCGTGGTCATGTGGCCGGTATGACTAAATGCCAAAGGCACAGGGAACGTACCTTCCCACCAAAGCGGTCCCTATTTTTCTACTTGCATTTTTTTTACATGCTTTTGAACTGCTAGGTTGGCAGAAGTTGGGACAAGGAACGGGAGCTCACTCCGTTACGCGGCGCTGGGGATTCCAACCGCCCAACTGTCGACCTTTGTGATCGACAAGCTCAGCGCCTTAGTCCCTGAGCCACCGTGTCTCTGCAAAATACAAAATTAAGAGAGGATAAAAAGGGATAAACAGGGTGAAAGGCCAGTGATGCAGGCCATCCTCAACTTACAATGACAATTAATTACACCCCAAATTTCAGTTGCAAAGCAAGACCGTTGTTCAGTGAGTTTGGGCCCATTTTACGACCTTTTAGGCCATGGCTGTTAAGTGAATCACGGCAGTAGTTAAGTTAGTAACACGGTTGTTAAGTGAATCTGGCTTCCCCATGGACTGTCATGCCCTTGGTAGAATCAGACTCTGAGGGAAAGGAGGAACAGCCGACAGGGAGTGGAGGTGTGGCTCCAGAGGTTGTGGAGGAGGCTGAAGAAGGGCTGAGGCCGGCTGGGCAGTCAGAGGAGGATCCAGGCCCATCCCCTCTGCATCCTAGGAGACGCAGGGAGAAAAGGAGAAGGCGAACAACTTGGCTTGCGAGAGAGGAAGCGGCCATGATCCCCTCATTGGTTGCAGCTGGGAGGACAAGTATATAAGAGAGACAGTTAAAACACAGGTTGCCAGAAGCAAGTGTGTTTTATTCTGGTCTGAAGTTATCTTGGTTGGCGTCCTTCCAACAGATTGTGCCTTGTAATCTCCTTGAAGTTGGTAATTACTTATCCTGGTCTGTTGTGGAAATTCCTTCATTGTAGTTTGTTTTGATTTTTTATTTCACCTCTATCTGCTCTTTAAGTTCGGACTGTATTGCTTCCTTTTGAAGACTATTTTTGAGTATATTTTATCTCCAACTGAGTGTTATTGAACAATGGGGCCAAGTTGGAGGCATTAAAGGACATTTATTTATGTTTTGGATTTTGTTATGTTTGTGTTACACTTTGAGCCATCACATGGACTTTGCTTGTCAAAAGGGGATCACATGACCCCAGGAAACAGCCATTGTCATAAATATGAGTCAGTTGCCAAGAGTCTGAATTTTGAACACTGGGGATATTGCAACAGTGATAAGTGTGAAAAATGGTCATAAGTCACATTTTTCAGTGCTATTGTAACTTTGAATGGTCACCGAACGAATGGTTGTAAGTGGAGGCTTATCTGTACATCATTTTACAAACATTTTCTTTCGAATTGTAATTCAGTGTAAAGTTCAGTCTGTTTGTCCACCTATTTTCCCAATTTTCAAGCAGGATATTCTTCCAATACAACAATTCATTCAGCGACCATTCAAAGTTACGCCATGACTGAAGAAAATGACTTATGAGCATTTTTCACACTTACGACCGTTGCAGCATTCCCATGGTCAAGCGATAAAATTCAGACGCTTGGCGGCTGACTCGTATTTATGACGGTTGTAGCGTCCCAGGGTCATGCAATCCCCTTTTGCGACCTCCTGACAAGCGAAGTCCATGGGGAAGCCAGATTCACCTTCACAACTTGAGTTGACTAACTTAACAACTGCAGTGATTCACTTAACAACGGTGGCCAGAAAGGTTGCCAAATTGAGGCAAAGCCCGCTTTGTTAGTTGTTTGTTCCACTTTATTAGTTGACAGTTGTTAAAACTGTCTCACTTAGCCACAGAAATGTTGGGCTCCATTGTAGTCGTAATCCGAGGACTACTGTACCTTTATCTCCAAAACATCTTGCCCGCTTGAAGCATAAAATCTGGAAACATAGTCATCTCCCTGATTCATTGTCAATAACAGTTTATGTAACTTGGCAATAACATGTGCCTGAGTCTTTTTCAAAATGGGTTCTTTTCATCTGTCAAAACAGAATTCTTTTTTTAAATCTACTTTTCAAACAATTGAGTGTATGTAAACCATTGACCTTCTTGAGATTTGTCCTTGTTTTTCCACACAGGATCTTTTCCGATGAACGTTACTGTGTTCCCCCAAAATAAGACCCTGTCTTATATATATTTTTTGCCACCAAAAAAAGGCACCAGGTCTTATTTTCGGGGGATGTCATCTAACTGATTAACCTTACTTGTGTGTGTCGTACCCGGCCTCGTTTTTGCGGTCAGAGGCCTTCAGGAACTACTACTTCTGCGGCCGGCAAGGCTTCACTGAAGGCCTCTGCAGCCGATAAGTGAGCTCTGGATCGATCCAGAGCTTTGTTCTCAGCTCCACAGGCCTTCAGGAAGGCCTTGCCAGCCTTGCCGGCTGCAGAAGAAATGGGCCAACAAGACAGATGTGATGGTGTGCGAGGCCTGGCTACCACTGTCCAAAGGTAAGTATAGGTCAGCTCCCACCACCACCCATCCACGCTAGCTTAATTTTTACCCGTGCACTCTGGAGTAGGTGGGATCTTAATTAGGGCTTATTTTGGGGGTAGGACTTATATTGGGCACAGGTGTAAAAATCAAGCTAGGGCTTACTTTCAGGGTAGGTCTTATTTTCAGGAAAACAGGGTAATAGCTCGGCATAAGTCAACCAAATGGGATTAATTTTCTCCTAAAGAGAACAGAACTTCGGTGGTTTTTGTCTATGACTATTCCAAGTGCTAAAAAAAACACCTTTAAAAAAAGCACTACTTAAAATTGACATCAATCCTAACTTTATCATACCATAAGTAGCTGTGGCATCCAAATTTCAAGTCACGTGCGCCTATTTCTAATACAGACAGTCCTCGACTTACAACAATTTGTTTAGTAACCACTCAATGTTAGAACAGCCCTGAAAAATGTGACTTGCGACCATTTTTCACACTTAACGACCATTGCAGCATCCCCATGGTCACATGATCAAGATTCTGGCGCTTGGCAACTGGTTCATATTTATGACAGTTGCAGCGTCCCGGGGTCACATGATCCCCTTTCGCGACCTCCTCAAGGGGGAAGCCTGATTCACTTAACAACTGTGTGACTAACTTAACGACCGCAGTGATTCGCTTAACCATTTGGTAAGAAAGGTTGTAAAACGCGGCAAACTCACGTAGTAACTGTCTCACTCAGCAACGGAAATTGTGGTTCTAAATGGAGGTCTAGCTGTTCTATTAACTATTACCCCGTTTCCCCAAAAATACGACCTACCCTGAAAGTAAGTCCTAGCTTGATTTTTTTTACACGTGTGCCCAATATAAGCCCTACCCCCCAAATAAGCCCTAATTAAGATCCTGCCCACTCCAGAGTGGATGGGTAAAAATTAAGCTGGGGAAGATGGAGGGGTGGGGCTGCCCTACTACTTACCTTTGGACAGGTGTAGCCAGGCCTCACACACCCCGACACCTGCCCGGCCGGCCCATTTCTTCTGCAGCCAGCAAGGCTGTTAAGGCTTTCCTGAAGGCCTCTGCAGCTGAGACCAAAGCTCTGGATCGATCCTGAGCTCTGTTATTGGCAGCAGAGGCCTTCAGGAAAGCCTTCCTGGCCGCAGAAGAAGAGTGTTTCTGAAGGCCTCTGAAAGCGAAAAGGAGGCCGGGGGTGACGTGAGCAAGTGAGGTTAGTCAGTGGATGACGTACCCCGAAAGTAAGACCTGGTGCCTTTTCTGGTGGCAAAAAATATAAAATAAGACAAGGTCTTATTTTCGGGAAAACATGGTATTATTAACACCAGCAAAAGTCCACAGTTTATAACTCTCTTTTTTTTTAAAAAAAGGGTGTTGGGTAAATATATCCACAACGTGTATAGGTAGTCCTTGTTTTACGAGCGCAATTGGGACCAAATATTTTGTCATTAAGCAGTGCAATTGTTAGGGGGGCCAATTAACCTTCACTTCCTGCCCTTTTCTTCGTTTTCCCGCAGTTGTCTCCAGTGACAGCGACAGTGATTCTGAGATCAGCTCCTCCAGTTTTGATGATCGGTCCTTGTCCGTGGGATCAAAGGGTTTCCAGATCAGGAAGCACCCAGCAGACTCCAGTGAGCAAACCTACTGTTAGAGAACGTGCAAATAGTTGTAATTGTGACCTCACACTTCTTGCGGTTACTGAATTAATCCATTGGGCGAGTTTACAGAAGATGGAAAATGATTATATGAAATCCTTGATTTACGACAAACAATTGATCCCAAAATTTCTGGGGTCTTGGTTTTTTTTTTGCATGGACAGCGGAGATGGATTTTGGTTCCTTCATTCCTTCATTCATCACGGACGGTAGCGCAGTGGTTAGGATCAAGTATTGCAGGCCAACTCTGCCCACTGCCAGGAGTTTGATCGACTCAGCTTTCCATCCTTACAAGGTCGGCAAAATGAGGACCCAGATTGTTGATGGCCATATGTAAACCGCTCAGAGAGTGCTGTAAAGCAGTCCAAAGCAGTATATAAGTCTAAAGGCTATTGCCACTGCTGTTCAAGTGGTCAATAAATGAGTGGTTGTAGGTCAAAGATTACTTGTACACAGGAATCTAGTCAGCTAACAGTCAGCACCAAATTGATGCTAGATAAAAGTCAGTGGACTTGAAGAAGGGTTGAACTTAGACCATTTGTGGGAACGTAACAATTCCAGGCTGATTTCTTTCTTGACTCCACCCACCCACCCACCCAAGGCTCCGCCTCTCTTTCTATTTGAAGTGAATGAAGTGATAGTTCCACTATTGTGCCTGAAGGAACCATAGTGGTTAGAATGCAACTGTCAACTAAAAAATACTACTTTGGTCTTTTTAGTTGCCAGCAAAAAGGGAGTGGGAGAAATAGTGCATTCCTTGAATGCTTCAGACAATGGCTAGATAGCCGGAGCTGTTGGTGCGCAAGATTATTACTGGAGAGCATGATTGATGATTCTTGGCTATGGATGTGTCCCATTGGAGAATATACATCCAGGGGGTGTGGGGAAGACCAGGGTCAAGGGGGAAATGAATGATGTGTTCTTAGAGTTGGCTGGCTGTCAGGGCTCTGACAAATCACCCCCATTCAAATCATAAGTCTCTAGCCACATCTCTCAGTAAAAAAAAATTGATTTATTATGAGTGAACATGTCGGTGTTATCTGGGTGCAGTCGACTCTAAGATACATCATTTCACCCTTGACCCTGGTCTTTCCCCCACCCCGTGGATGTATAATCTCCAATGGGACACATCCATAGCCAAGAGTCATCCGTCATGCTCTCCAGTAACAATCTTGCGTGCCAACACCTTCGGCTCTCCTAGCAATTATCTGAAGCATTTAAGGAATGCACTGCTTCTCCTACTCCCTTTCTGCTGGCAACCAAAAAGACCAAAGACGTTTTTTTTTAGTTGACAGCAGCATTGCAGGCTAACTCTGCCCATTGCCATCAGCTCAATCCTGACCGGCTCAAGGTCGACTCAGCCTCCCATCCTTCTGAGGGGGGGTCAAACGAGGGCCCAGATTGTCAGGGGCAAGAGGCTGACTCTGTAAACCGCTTAGAGAGGGCCGTGAAGCACCGCGAAGCGGTAGGTAAGTCTAAGCGCTATTGCTATTCCATTTAATACTCACCGGGATTTTGCCCTACTGGCTTCCTGTCCGGCAATAAGGCCCATTTTCATATGCGAGATCACGTTCAATTTTTTAAAAAATTATTATTATTTCTGCTTCCTCCAGTTTCCAGCGGCGAGGCTGCCCGGTTGCCAAGCGGGAGCACCGGTCGGACTTTGGGAAGCACCAAATCCGAAAGCCAAAGCAGTCTGGGCAGTGAGCGATACAGTGCCCCGGAAGGCTACCAGAGTGACCGTGAAGACAGCGATACCGTCCGAAGCGCTCCTGGTGAGTGGAGGCAGAGTTTGCAAAAGGAAATTACCATTTTTTTTTTCCCCTGAGTAGGGATGGAATTAAAACACGGACTAGATTTGGTTGGGAGGAAAATTGCGCCTCACAGGTAGTCCTCATTTTAGAACCACAGTTGAGTCCAACATTTCTGTTGCTGTGACCCCCTTCCTGTGTCAATCACTGCAGATGTTAAATGAATCATTTGGTCATGAAGTGAGTTTGGCTTCCCCTGTTGACTTTTTGTGTGTGCCGGAAACTGGCAAGGAAGGTCACACATGGTGATCACATGACCCCGGTATGCTGCAACCGTCATAAATACATGCCAGTTGCCAAACACCCACATTTTGATCACATGACCCTGGGGGACATTGCAGTGGCCAGAAACGTGACAAACGGTCATAACTCATTTTTTTTTACTGCCCTCGCAACTTCGAACTGTCACTGAAATGAGTGGTTGTAAATTGAGGGATAGCATATTTCCCCCGAAAATAAAACCCAACCCAAAAAGTAAGCCCTGGCATGGGGTTTCAGGATGCTCCTAATACAAACCCTACCCCCAAAATAAGCCCCAGTTAAGATTGTCAGCCAGACAGATGGATTTAGTACTGTATTTCTCTAAAAATAAGACCTAACAGGAAAATAAGCCCTAATGCATTTTTTTTTGGAGCAAAAATTAATATAAGATCTGGTCTTATTTTTGGGGAACACGGTAGCTGCCTTGAAGACCAGCTGGAATAAAATCCTGTGACGGTTTGTCCTTTTTTGGAAATGATCTAGCTATCTTAGCTGGGGTGGCTACTTCGACTTGTGAATTTTTACACACAAAGCATCCTTTTTTTTTGCCAAGTGTTGTGGCAGCAACCAGGTGCCCAGGCAGTTCATTCTTGTAGATCCAGAGACAAGGGATTTTAAGCTTTATTATGAGCTCAAGCAAACAGAGATAAAAAACATGATATAAAAAGTTTCCAGGCCAGGTGATGACGATGGCAGAGATATCCCCATTTTTCTCTGCACTCAGTGCTGGCTTCTGCGCAGTAATCCTCACAAGGAACACAACCTAAAGGTTTTTGTTGAAGGTTGGTACCTGGACTTCGCGGCCCTATTATAGTCGGGAGTTTCCCAAGTCTTTTGTGCCTAAGGAGGGACTAGAACTCACTGTCTCCTGGTGATTGGCCCAAAGTCTCCCAGCTGGCTTTCATGCCTAAGGCTAAACTAGAACTCACCGTCTCCTGGTGATTGGCCCAAAGTCACACAGTTTTCATGCTAAGGCGGGACTAGAACTCACCGTCTCCTGGTGATTGGCCCAAAGTCACACAGTTTTCATGCCTAAGGCGGGACTAGAACTCACTGTCTCCTGGTGATTGGCCCAAAGTCACCCAGCCGGCTTTCATGCCTAAGGCTAAACTAGAACTCACCGTCTCCTGGTGATTGGCCCAAAGTCTCCCAGCCGGCTTCATGCCTAAGGCTAAACTAGAACTCACTGTCTCCTGGTGATTGGCCCAAAGTCACACAGCTTTCATGCATAAGGCGGGATTAGAATTTCCCGTTCTCCTGGTGATTGGCCCAAAGTCACACAGCTTCCAAGCCTTAGGAGAGACTAGAACTCACTGTCTCCTAGTGAGTGGCTCAACATCACTCATGTGATGTCTCAGACAGAACTGGAACTCAGTCTCCTAGCAATTGGCCCAAAGTCACCCAGCCAGCTTCCCTGCCTAAAGCCTCACTAGAACTCACAGTCTCCCGTTTTCTAGTCTGGTGCCTTCACCACTCAACCAAACGTGTTCTGGAGGCTCATTAGAAGCCATCAGGATTTGGAGCAAGAGTTGGTTATTCAACTGCCAGCTTAGAAAACAGGTCACAACATTTTGGACCCACAAAATGTTTGCAAGTGACCTGCGGGGCAGCTAAAACCTCTCCCCCCGCCACTTCCAATAGCCAAACACAGTTGTTGTAATTCCCAAAATCTGTCCGTGCGCTGATTGGTTTCCTGTTTTCCTCTTCTTAAAAAGCGAGAAGACGCGTCTTAAAATGTCGCTGGCGATGACGGATCTCCAAAGCCTGTTGCCGCCTTCACCCTTACTCGCCTTCTGCGTCAGACTCAAGACGGGCGTTCAACCGAGGACTCGGAGGAAGAATTGCAGACCGTTGCCCTCATGGCGACAACAACCCTAGTGCTTGGTTGCTCCTCTGCCTTTCGCGGTTGCCAGCGGATCGGTGATTTTTGACACCCAGGAACAGCCGAAAAAAAGGGGGTCTTAAAAATTCTTGCAATTGGATTTTTCCAGCCGGGGTGTGGAAAGAAATGTGGATTTACCCCACAGAGGGAGATTTCCTCTTATGTTCCCCCCAAGATATTTATTTTTCTTTGAAAATGGCGTGGAAGAGAGATTTGGAATATCGCCTCACCTCTGCACACTCACAAAATTGCCAGCCTGATTTTTGTCCCGGGTAACAAGGTGGATTTTTTGTGTGTGTGTGTCGGTTCCTCTGCAGGGCAGGGAGGGAGGGTTGAAGATGGACGGACCCACAAACACACCTGTGACGGAGAGGATGAGGAAAGGCAGGTGTTCCTCACTAGGAGATCGGTGGGATCTAGAACATCTGGCAGGAAGAGAGAGGAGGGGGAGGTCCGTTCGGGGCCTAGAATGGGGAAAATCTGGATTTCAGAAATAATTCAGCCGCTGGATTGTGTTTGATTTCTGCAAATTAGGCTCTGTTGGTCAAAAATGGTGGAAGTAGAACTTTTCCTTTAAAATAGGGGTGGACTTCAACTCCCAGAATTCCCCAGCCAGTCATACTGGGGTTGTGATTTGGGGAATTGTGGGGATTATGGCTGGGAGAACGATGGGAAGCCATACTGGAGTTAGCCATAAGGAGTGGTGCGGTGGCACTAGGAGGTGGAGCTCCCCAACTCACAAACCGGAGGCTGTGCGTTCAATCCTGGGCGGAGGCAGATATATTTCTCTCTCTCTCGGCACATTTGAGTATATATCTGCTGGACAAAACTCTGCATTGGTGACAGGAAGGGCATCCGGCCAGTAAATACTCTGCTAGCTGTATTCGGTTGCCCAGGCTCCACCCCACAAGGGATTGTGGGGTCGTTAAATGAGGATGAGGATGATAATGATACTGGAGATAGCCATGCATTCAACTCCCACGTTTCCTCATACTGGCTGGGGAATTCTGGGCGTTGAAATCCACCCCTTTTATAACGGCTCAGGTTGAGAAATTCTGTTTTAATTATGATGGATCCCCGAGAATTTCACCCTTTCTTTGTTTTAAATCCTTGTTGTTGCACTGGAGGTCTCTTCAAACTCCTCCCTGCATATCTTATGTTGTAATCTTGTCGGTTTCCTATAAAGTATTTTTTATTATATGGAGGTTTGCTCTCAGGATGGTCCTTACATCGAATAGCTGAGATTGGCTATAATTGAACCGGGTGGGATGGTATTTTCAGGCAAGACTCACTGGCCAGGTCTAAGCACCCCGAGGGCAGGATCCAGCCCACAGGCCTTGAGTTTGACACCCCTACTGTATAGAACCGGGATGGCGAACCTATGGCATTGCCATCGCCCCAGATCAGCTCCACTGCATACGCGCACGCCTGTCTCCCGCTGGCCAGCTGGTCTTCAGGTCTGTGCCATGCACGCGCAGGGGCGGGGTGTGAACGGGGGTCATGCACACAGGCATGGGGGGTGGGGGCACACATACAGGGAGTCATGTGCGTGTCAACTAAAACGTTTTGTGTACACGTTGTATAGTCGACAACAGAAAGAGGAGGAGGGAATTTCAAAGAGAAGATGGCAGTGTGGAATCGAAAGCACATTCCATTCATATTTTCTTTAAAGACTGATCAGATGACTTGAAGCATCTGCCGCTCAAAAATCTAATTGGAGAGCATGATTGATGACTCTGGGCTATGGACGTTTTTCGTTGGATGATACACCCAGAGGGGTGGGGGGGGGAAAGCAGGATCAAGGGTGACAGTGAATTACATATCTCAGAGTTGGCTACGCCCAGATTAGTGCCGGGACGTAGAATGGTAGCTTCAAATAAATCCTCTTTAGTTTTGGGAGTGTGGCTCAAGGCTCATGATTTAATTGGAGTAACTGCCGGAACCCTGACAACGCATGCGTGGAGGGCAGGGTGCATGCACGGGGCACGGGGGGGGGGGTCGTATGCGCATACATAGGGGGGAGGGCACATGCACGGGGCACGCACACACATTGCATTTTGGGGATGCGCGCATGCACACTTTGGGCCCTTGTTGCCGGAAAGGTTAGCCGTCACTGGTATAGAAAGTGGTGAGGACAGTGGGAGGAAGATGTGCTTTTCTCATGCGACGCAGAAAACACAGGCACTCCTGTGCCGGCTTCAACCATGTTTTACTATTGAGCAACCAAGCTAGCCTAGATCTGACCTAGAACTAAGGAGAAACTTCCTAACAGCGAGACCTATTAACCAGTGGAACGGCTTGACTCTGGAAGTTGTAGGTGATTCACCCCTGGAAGTTTTTTAAGAAGAGATTGGACAACCACCTGTCTGAAATGGAATAGGATCTCCCAGTGGTGGAATTCAACTGGAGTATCAAGTGGTTTGATGAGCGTGCACGTAACATTTAAAAACCACTTATTTTCAGCTCTAAAACTTTACTTTTTAAAAAAAAACAACCAAATTTTATTGATTTTTTAAAGACGAACAAAAGATAGGACATAAAGGCATAAAACCACCTTTCTAAAAATTACTTATAAGTTTTAACAAGGCACATAAAACATTATTTTTTAAGGCATAGTTCCAGATTATCACATTTCCATTTAAGCACATATATCTCTTTTCCAAATTTCTCATTATTTCTCCCTTCACTCTTACCCAATTATATTTCTTTCTATCAAGGTTTTATTAATTCTCAATCAAATATAAACATTTATACAGCACAGTTCCAAATTATCACATTTCCATTTAAACACCTATATATCTTTTCCGAATTTCTCATTGTTTCTACGCAGTTTCTAAAACTTTACTTTTTACTGCAGCACCCGGAGAGTAAAACAACTGAGGCATGGCCGACCACCATGCTGCGCGAATCAGCTGGGCTGCAAAACAGAGAAGGATAGGACAGACTAGGACTAGGGTGGCAAACCTTTTCGGCACTGAGTGCCGAAATGGGAGCGCATGCGCCGCAAACCAGAAGCGCAACTCCCTGGCGGGCCACACCGGGAGTGCCAGAAACTAGAAGATCAGCTTCCTGGCGCACGCATGTGTGCCAGCCACCTGGTCTTCCGGTTTCTAACACACCTGCGCATGGGAAGACTAGTTTGACAGCGCATGCACGCGTGCCAGGGATCTGCACTTCCGGTTTCCGGCACTCCCGTGTGTGCAAAGACCAGCTGGCCCCATTGTGTGTGCAAAAACCCAGCTGCATGTGCACACAAATGCCAGCTGGCCAGTGCATGCACACACAATGGGGATCTGCCCTTCCAGTTTCCGGTGCTCCTGCATGCGCGAAGACCATCTGGTGGGAACCCGGAAGAGCAACGGGTGACGGCTAGCATGCTCGGAGAAATGGCTCTGTGTGCCACTTCCTGGATTAGGGCCAGGGCGAGTGGGCGGGGCCAACTAATCGCCAGAGCTACCAGTTCGCTCCAACCGGTCTGAACCAGATGAATTCCCAACCCTGGGATCTTCTGCTTGAGCGGGAGGCTGGACTAGAAGACCTTCAAAGTCCCTCCCAGCTCAGTTCAGATTGAGCGATGGAGTCACATTTGGAGACGACCTTTTGTGTTTCTCGAGTTGCCGTCTTTCCACCCAATTGTGTTCCAACGGATCTCTTCGCACAAAGGAAGACGAGGAGGCCTGGATCCTCTCCATTGGAACTTAGGGCGCCTGCCGAGAAGCCCACCCGCCCAGGATGATGGATTTCAAGGTCTCTTCCCCGCCATTGCCTCTTGCCTCCTTCCACCGCGGTGCCACCAACGTTAACGTGTCTCATCTTTCTTCCACTTCTCCGTCAATGCTGCTTTTGTTAGTATTTCTCTCCACCCTGGCCCCTTTCCCCGTTGGGTAGAAAGCCCATCCAGGATAATGCGGCACTTAATCATCATCGCAAAGTTGTCTTTTGTGGCTTGCAGCTTGTCATCATCGTCTGGTATTGTACGCGTAGCTTCTCCACCGCACCGGTGAAGAAAAATCTTGGCATTGTTTGCACGCCGCATCCGGCAAGCGCTCTCTCTCTCTCTCTCTCTCTCTCTCTCTCTCTCTCTCGGCACCTTTTCATCTGCATTCAATCTCAAGGTTTTTTAAATAATTGCCTTTCCGCTTCCCCCTTCATCCACCCGCCACCGTACGTATCGCCTTTTTTAAAAGTTCTGTGCAAAAAAATTACATTTGCAATTGGTTTTCGCCTGGCAGTCGCCACCGTGTTTGTTGCAAACATCTGCCTTCCCCCCCACACACACACAAAGCCCGGATTTCTGGTGTTTTTTTTTAAATCAGATTACAGATTAACAGAGTTGGAAGGGACCTTGTAGGTCATCTAGTCTAACCCCACACCCAAGCAGGAGACCATACACCATTTCTGACAGATGGCAGGCTAATCTCTTCCTGAAAGCCTCCAGTGATGAAGCTCCCATAACTTCTACAGGCAACTTCTGTTCCATGGGTTGATTGTTTAGACTATCAGAAAATTTCTCCTTATTTCTAGGTTGAATCTCTCCTTGTTTAGTTTCCATCCAATATTCCTTCTCTGGCCTACAGGCACTTTGGAGAACAGCTTGAGCCCTTCCTCCCTGTGGCAGCCACTCAAATATTGGAAGACCGCTATCCTGTCTCCTCCGGTCCTTCTCTTTACTAGACCAGCCAGGCCCAGTTCTTGCAACCATTCGTCGTATGTTTGAGCCTCCAGTCCCCTCATCATCCTCGTTGCAGACCGGAGATAAGTTTTGCTAATCTCCACATTTTGGGGTGAAAACCTCCAATCTACTTTTGGGGGGCTATTTTGGGGGGAAATGGGGCTGGAGAAGGAGTAGATTTGGGGTGGTTCAGGAGCAGGCAAGTTTTGGGGGTGAAGAAAATGAAAAAAAAAAAAAAAAGCAAGATAACAGCCACAACCACAAGATGGCATGTAGTCCTTGACTCGTTCGTTTAGTGACCGTTTGAAGTTGCACTGGCACTGAAAAAAAAGCGATTTGTGACCGATCCTCACACTCAAGACCATTGCAACAGCCCCCCCCTATCCGCAGTCATGTGATCAAAATCTGATTGTTTTATGACATATATTTATTCATTTTATTTTGTCAAGAGATTATAAGATAACAGGTATAAGTATAAACATAGTTATGAATAATGAAATGGGTACATATAAGAAAAATAAAAATAAACAATAGGACAGGGACGGTAGGCACGTTGGTGCGCTTATGCACGCCCCCTACAGACCTTTTAGGAAAGGGGTGAGGTCAATAGCAGACAGTCTAAGGTTAAAGTTTTTGGGGTTTGGGGAAGAAACCCCAGAGTCAGGTAGAGTCTTCCAGGCATTGACCACTCTGTTGCTGAAGTCGTATTTCCTGCAATCAAGTTTGGTGCGATTAACCTTGAGTTTGTATCTATTGTTTGCTCTTGTGTTGTTATGATTGAAGCTGTATTCATTTGCAGATAGGACATTGCAATGTATGATTTTACATACTATATTTAGATCAGACCGAAGACTGCGTAATTCAAGGTTTTCTAGGTCTAGAATTTCGAGTCTGGTGGCCTAAGGTATTCTGCAACGAGTAGAGGAGTGGAGAACTCTTCTTGTGAAATATTTCTGGACTTTCTCAACTGTGCTAATATCAGATACATGACATGGGTTCCAGACTGATGAGCTGTATTCGAGTATTGGGCTAGCAAATGTTTTGTATGCTCTCGTTAGTAGTATGATATTACCAGAGAAAAAGCTATGTAGGATTAGGTTAACAATTCTTAATGACTTTTTGGCTATGTAGTTACAGTGGGCTCTAGCACTTAGATCATTAGAGATGAGTATTCCAAGATCCTTGACAGAGTTTGGATCATCAACAGGGTCTTGACTATTCAGCTTGTATTTTATTTTCTGATTTATTTATTTTGCCAAAATGTAAGACAGAGCATTTATTTGTTGAGATTTGAAGTTGCCATTTGTTTGACCATTCTGATACATAGTCAAGATCTTTTTGAAGGGTAGCAGTATTGTCTGTGGTATTGTACAGCTTTACATCGTCAGTGAAGAGAACGCAGTTGCTCTTAATATGACCACAGAGGTCATTTATGTAGAGTATGAAGAGAGTTGGTCCTAGAACACTGCCTTGGGGATCACCCTTGTTGACAGTCCCCAGGTCAAGTAATCTTCTCAGATGGCATCCGATGAGCAAAGTTGATAAGGAAAGTTGATTTGCTTAAGGACTGCAGGATTCACCTCACTTCCAGTGTTTCGCTTATGTGATGACCCAAAGGGGCATGGCACAAAGGCAACCCAGTCAGATAATCAGTAGGAGTCCCTTTATTAGCTCCAACTTTGCCCCCAAAGTCCTGGTTACCTTCTGGGCTGGAGAAAAACTCTCCCAGGAAGAGCCTTTGGCTGCAGAGAATCAAGTCCAAAATGTGGTCAACAAAAACTGTAACTGTAAAGTCCAATCAAGGCAAAAGGAGGTAATTAGTCCGGCAGGGCAGGAGCAAGAATTCCAGACGTGAAGGAACGGCAGTAATTCAACACGGTTGGGAGGATGCCAGGAACACAGATAAGCAAAGTCAACACAAGATAAACTCACATTTGTTCCCAGCAGCCATTGCACTCAGCATGTATCTCTTTTAAACTCTCCTCTCAGCTGTGGCTAATGAAGGGAATCAGGGCCCTTTCCTGCCCCGTAAGCCACCGCAA